TTAACTATGTTTGTTTAAAATTTTATAGAGAAAATATCTCTATAGACCCCATTTTCAACTTTCATTTCTATATTGACCTAAGGTTTTAAATCATATTTTACTACATAGAAATTCACTCTTTTATATCTCCTAACACGCTAAACATATTTTATTCATTTTTTACTAATTGTTTTTTACCCAAACAACGTAAAAAAAGACACTGTTTCTAACCCCTTTCTCTCTCTTGACATGATTCCTTTTTTCTCCCCCTCGATTAACCTCCCAAACACCTCTCTTTCTATCTCCCCTCCTAAAACCACCACCACCACTATTGAAAACGCTCGAGAGATTAGAGAGAGAGAGAGGTTAGAGCTTAACCGGGGCAGTGGAGTAGATCGACGGAGGCGCTACAAGAGTGGGATAGCTTGGTAGCGAGAGAGGTATTGATTTTGATGTGGAGGTTGGGGTAAGTAGAGTCTTTGATAAGGATGCATAAGTACTTGCCACTCTTCTCCACTACGTGCTTCAGGCCCCCGCAACAGTCCTTGGTGGGAACCGCCACCTCCCCCTGCACATACGACAGGCACGTCACAAGCCCCATCAACTGCTCTGTGCACTCTTTCGTGTCCTCCACCAGGTCACCTCCCATTTCCCCAGTCCTCTTAAAACCACTACAACCACCACCTCCCACTTCCCCTCACCCCTCACCTAAAGAGAGAATCCCAACTAAACCATAACACAAATCCCCTAAAACCCACCTCAAGAAAATAATCCATCCTCATTCTCCGGCGAAAGCTTATGGCCAAATCATCCAATAATAAATTCACTATAAATTTTGGCCCTCTAGGCTTTAACGATACACAACCCAAAATGCAGGGAGCTCTTTATATACACAACCCTATGTTCAGTCCAGGCTGATCTCTCTTCAAGGTTCTCTAATGGCTTCCTTGCGTCGAGCTTCAAGGGCCCTTAGACCAAAGTCTCTGGTTTTACTTTCTGGATCCTCTGTATTTGGCCCTAGTTTTTATGATTTCGGAGGAAATTCGAAGTTGGGTGGTTGTATTTCTAACCATTTTTATTTCTCCAAATCTCTCCATTCTAGCAGAGAAACCGTCATTGATTTGAGCCAGTTCCTGCCTGAAAGAATCAAGAACTTCTCGATCATCGCTCAAGTCGATCATGGTGACCCCATTGTAGGCCGAGAGTAAGAGTAAGAGAGCAATTAGAGAGAAGGTGGGTAAGAAGAAGAAGAGAGAGAGTTATGAGCATGACCAGTTTAGAGAGAGAAACACGTGAGGAGAGAGAGAGTTCGAA